ATGTATGTATGTATGTATGTATGTATGTATGTATGTATGTATGTATGTATGTATGTATGTACGTACGTACGTACGTACGTACGTACGTACGTACGTACGTACGTACGTACGTAGGTAGGTAGGTAGGTAGGTATGTATGTATGTATGTATGTATGTATGTATGTCGGAAAACCTGTCTACATGTATACATGTATACATGTAGAAGTGTAGGTATCCAGATATGTATATGTGTTTTTTTTATTCGCATATATGCAATTATGTATATACACATTCATGGCATATGCTCATCTAAACAAGAATATAGGCAACTACAGGTCTTGTTACGGATAAAGATAGACTTCTAGTTTTGAAGGTGGAGTTGGTGGATGTGACTCCGGCGGCTGTTCTTTGGCATACAAAGCCGCCTTGCGGAATTGGTTCAGCGAGCGTCAAGATGTGTTCTGGGCCCGGCGCTCAGCGTCCGAAGGGCAGCTAGACAGATAGATAGTATACTACAGTAGTAACTTTGTAGTATACAATAATAGAGTACTAGTAACTTTGTAGTGTATAATAATAGAATCACATCTTAGAATATATCACGATACATAATAGTACATTCTAGTAGTATTAGAAGTAGTATTATATCTCGTGCCGCAGGGTAATGCAAGAGTGCGGGCTTGGGAGTTCGTGCAGGTGATGAGCATCGGCGATCAATTCACGGACTCGGCCGGTGTCGCATCTGGACTTCGAGTGATATGGCAGCAGTGGTCTGCGGTTCTCTCACGCTTTTGCAGTTCCAATGTCACTCGCGGAACTTGTCCAAGAGGCGAAATGCCAAGCACAGGTCAAGCTGCCAAACTTCTGGTTTGACAGCAGCGTGGTTCCCAACCCGCTTGGCAACGGCGGCAAAGTTCACTTGGATGAACACGGGAGACATGGCAGCAAAGCTCGACGTAGCTCATGGCAATTTCAGGCACTTCCACGCACGTGCTGCTGAAAGTCAGCAATTCGTGATAAAAAGTAGTGTGAGTGGCCATTAGAAACGATAGCAATTCTGCGCGAAATCCGGAGCAGAGCCTTTTCACCGAGGTGGTCGTATATAACGAGGTTGCTGTAAGGTAGGGGCCAAGAAGCAGTGGGACGGCACCATCACAAAGATACTGGACTCAAGGAACAAGCCAGGCCTTGCACAGTCCAGCCGAAGCCGTGCTTTACTCTGCGACCTGGCCCCTTCGCACCTCCAGTATTTGCAGTTCCAAGCTGGCAGCAAGAAATCTCGAATGATCCAGGTCGTCCGGGCTTGAGTTCTGCAGTGCCTTACTGACCTACTGTGCCTGCAGTAGTGGGAGGCTGGCATGTGATACTGAAACCCGACAATGCAAACGTGTAGGCTCTGCTCCCCGAACCCTGAAATTGTGCCCTGAGCCCTTAGCCTCACCCATGCAGCTTTATAATTACCACATAGCACCGGCCCCGTGCCGAACGCAACCAGGGAAAGCAAAAAATGCTTTGACGCTGCAGCCTCGTTGCCACCTTCAGGACATTTCCACCCGGAAATGAGCACTGCGAGCTGAACTGTGTGGTCGGCCCCGACGATGCATGCCTGGAAGCCTCGCTGAAAGATGATGCGATATACTGGAGCCCCTGCTTCAACAGAGGGTCAGGGTCCACCGGATGATAATCCTTCCCACGAGCTGATAGTGTTAATCCTCCTCCCTCCTGGCAGTCGCATCACGATTGTGCTTATCAGTCTGTGTTATTGTTCTTCTGCTGCACCTGCTGCTGCCCCTGCTGCCCCTGATGGTGGTGGTGCTGCTGCTGCTCCTGCTTCTGCACCTTTCAACTCTTTGGGGGGTTTGGTGGATGTTGTCATGTCTACAGGACTTGGCTGAAGAATGCAACAATCCAAGGCACACCAGGCTCCAGTACTGCCTTGACCAAGACCGTGAGAAGAGCCCTGATCAAGTCCATGGATGTAAATACAACCTCCTGACGGGAGCGGTGACTTGTTGATCTTTTCTGCATGCTGGGTGCGGCCAAAGTGCTGCTCTGCAAGTGCGGCGGAAGAGAGTTCCCAGAGACTCCAATAATTTAAGGTATGTTCCTTAATTAAATTAAAGGATATTGGAGTCTCTGGGTTTGCAAGCATAGTTCGAGCATCGCTGTTTCTGCGGCCGAGCCGTGCCTTCGTGGCCGAAGCGACAATCTTGCACGCCGGAGCTTTGCAATCCTGTCGCTCTTTTTCTTTTGTTGCCTCTAAACCCCTAAACCCCTAAACCCCTAAGCCCCTAAACCCTAAAACCCTAAACCCCAAACCCTTGGTTGCTGTGTCTAGCGCTGAGGCGTGGAGCAAAGATGATTGGGAGCAGGCAAGATGGGAGGCCCCTGTTTGTGGGTGGGTGGGAGGAATCTTGGATGACGGATCTCGGATCCGCCATATTGAAATTCAATATGGCCTCAATATTTCAATATGCCCTCCTTGAATCCAAGATTCCTCTCAGGACTCCCGTGCAACCTTGGATCTTGGATCCGCCATATTGAAATTCAATGTGTTTCAATCGTTCAATGTGGTCCTTTGCCCTCCTGGGTTTTGTTGTCTCCACGGCTCTTTGACAGTTTCTATGTGCATATCTGCGACAGTGCGTAGGTGCAGATCTGCTACATGCGCATAGCTAGGCAGCTTGAACCAACTGCGTCATTCACGTTGCAGCCCTTCTCAAAGCCGCTACCCTGCTTGGCGCGCTGTTTCACATAATTCGGATCATTCGGATGTTCGGAAACTTTATGATTTCTCTGAATGATCCGAAATGAGCTATTTCACATAATTATGTTCCTAGATTCCGGGTTTCTGACAAAGAAATCCCTTGTTCGAGGGGCGACAATTTAGACTGTGAATTCTCAGATCTTGGGCTCCTCCTGATTTTCCTTATTTCTCGGGTATGCTATAGGTTATTCTATAAGGTATTCTAAACGGCATCTAAAAAGTATAGAGGATCCATAAGGTAACTTTAACGTATACAGAGGGCATATTACATAGGCGGTCTTTTGTAAGGTAAATGGTATTCTTGCAGGGTATTCTATAGCATACTGCATAAGGTATTGTACAAAAGGCATTCTGCAGCCTATATTTAGGAAGGTATTCCGTAGGTATTCTATATGATGAGATTCTTCAATGTTTACAGAGGGGTATTCTATAAGGTAGTTGTTTGGCTGTTTCTCTTGGTTCCTGATTTCCTTCATAGGAAACCCTTACCTAATAAGCTACGATTCAACTGGGGACAGTGTTTCGGGTTATCGTTGGTAGACTGTCTAACCCGTAAAAGCACAGCAACGAGTAACAAAGCATAGATCTTTGAGGCAGGGGGGGAGCACATATATATGTATATACACATATGCATATATACATATATGCATATGTATATGCATATGCACATGTACATGTACATGTACATGTAGATGTAGATGTAGATGTAGATGTAGATGTAGATGTAGATGTAGATGTAGATGTAGATGTAGATGTAGATGTAGATGTATATGTGTATGTAACTGTATATGTATATGTATATGTATATGTATATGTATATGTATATGTATATGTATATGTATATGTATATGTATATGTATGCAAGACTAGAACTTCAACAATATACACACATACATATGTGAGTACGAGTGTATGTGTATGTGTGTATATATTATATAATACATACACGTATTAGCTATTTTGACTGTTGGAACACGGGTATGCATACATACACATCGATTGTTTGTAGGCTATGTTTCGCGGGTATCTACCTGCAGTGTAGTTTTAGCAACAACGGTTTATGACACGCCCCACTTATGAACGTGCAAGTCTGTGCTCGAAACCCAAGATCCTGTAATGTACAAGCTTTCGCCAAGGGGGTGCTGTCAGCACTGTCGGTGTCGATATCGCCAGGATTTCATTATGCGGTCTATTACAAAAACGAATGCACGATTATCAAACTTATGCATGTCTCTAGGGACCACGTGGGAATATCTTGCAGCGCAAAAACTCATAATCCCAAGGTCGAATCGACAGTCCTCCTATAAGAATATTTCACATGCCATGTAAACGAAGAATCATGTAATCAACACACGTGCATAGCAGCCCTTACTTATAGTAAAGCTTGAAGTCATCCTTCTCGTTATTTTATTTTGAAGCCATGACAAGGGAGAAAACTTTAAACCCTAAACTAGAAACACAAGAGCAAGGACCCCAAATCAACTCGGCAACGCCACAGTCGCGATCTAAGGTTGATGATATAAATCCTGTAGCACCCATAATTAGGACTATACCAGAATTCCCATAGTTTAGGGTCCTAAGGTAATGCAGGGAACCATAAACCCTAAACCCTAAAATCATCAACCGTACCATGTGCTTACCATCATCCCGCCTCGCTACAGCAGTCCGGTACTGCGCATCAAGGGCTGCGTCGATCTCGTCGAAGAGATAAAAGGGAGCCTCGGTGGCTCCGACCGCTTTGATTCAGTAATTTAGGGTTTGGGGAGGACTTGTTTCTTTTTCCGCCTGTTTTGGGTCGCTTCCTCACCTGCTCCCATGTTCGGGTGTTTTCCGACCTCTCCACCCAATCTGGGGTCCCTTACCCACCTGGTTGGGTCGTTCTCCCACCAGCAGCACACCGTGTCTGGGTCTTCGGGTCTTTGTCTGACCTGCCTACCCTGGTTGGGATCCCTTACCCACCTGCTCAGGTCTTTCTAGCCACATGCTTCTAGGTAAGCCGCATGGGTCTCATTCCCCTTGCTTTGTTTGTTTTTTGGACCTGCCTGCCTTGTTCGGGTCTCTTTGCCCAGCGTCCGCGACACACTCCCTGGTGCGATCGTGAAAATTCGGCTGCAGTCCTGTCAGGTTTCGGGTGCAGCCTTGACAGATGTCCGGGACTTCGAAGGTGTGGCGCCAGGGCTCAACTTTCAACTCACACGTTAGTTGCAATATAGTAGAGCTAAGTCACATCACGTTTTGTTGGAAAACAGCTGTTGAAGGGGACGCGCGATGCCAGGAGGTCAAGTCATGGTGACATCAACATGGCTTTCGGTTTCCCCATGTAGACGCCGCATCAGCAAGGTTGCATCCACTAGACAACAAACGCATGGTAACCAAGCCATTCCCCATGCAGACGCCCGATTTGAGAGGCACCCACGCAAGACACACGTCGGATCATAACGCATCAGAACCAGCTGTTCCCCATGTAGGTGCTCGATTTCACAATCACACACTCAAGGCAAAGATCAGTGGCATCACAGCAAAACCAAACCAGCCATTCCCCATGTAGACGCCCCATTTGAGAAACAAGCGTGCCAAAAACGCATCGGTGTAGTCACAAGCACACACTCAAGGCAAGCATCATTGGCATCGCAGCACAACCAAGTCAGCTATTCCCCGTGCAGACTTGCGATTTCAAGACACACGTCGGTGTAGTCATAACACAGCAGACCCAGCTGTTTCCCATGTAAGTGACCGATTTCATAACCACACACTCAAGGCAAGCATGAATGGCATCAGCACAACTCAGCTATTCCCCGTGCAGACGCCCGATTTCAGAAGCACCCACGCAAGACACACGTCGGTGGAATCACAGCACATCAGAACCAGCTAATACAGGCACACGCTCAAGACAAACATCAAGGGCATCACAGCACATCCAAACCAACCTGCTTCATTCAGTGTTTGTTCGCCGCCGATCAGGGTGACCGAGACCACTGTGCCAGTAGAAGTGCTAGTAGAAGAGCTGCTAGGTATCATGCCCTGTTTTCTCCCTCGGATGTGCCATGCATTGAAAGAACGCAGACTTGATCCGAAGGCTTCGATCGGGGCTGTATAGCATAGTTACCACAGGGAACATGAGGAAGAGTGATGTTATAGTTCCGGAAGTAGTACAGGGTCCCCAGTCCTCAGTGGTGTGGACGCCAACCGATGTCATCACGACGACGACGACGACGTTGATGAACAAAAACAGCGAATACTTGCATCACAGCACATCAAAACCAGCCGCTCCCCGGGTAGATGCTCGATTTCGTAAGCACCCGCGCAAGAGGCACATCAGTGGGCATCGCAAACAGCAAATCAAAACCAGCCATACCCGGTGCCGACGCTCGATTTCGCAAGCATCCGCTCAAAAGAACAGCGACATCGCATCAAACGGCAAATCAAAACCAGCCGTTCCCCCTGTAGACACTCTATATATTGCAAACATCGAGTACTACAGCAACAACGACTTCTGCATGTAAATTGCTGCAAACTCAGCATGGGCTATCAAAACTCAACAACTGCGAATCGACGTGATCACGACTCCCTAAGTAGACGCTCGGTGATGCAAGCCCCCCGGGTGATTCCGCCCGGTGTGGGGTGGGATCCAAAATACATGATGCGACTTATAGCTCCGCCGCCGCGCGCTCCCTCTGCAGTCAGAGGCTTCAGAAAAGGAACGTTTGGGAAAAGAGCTCGTTTGCAATTAACTTTCAACTCAGAGGGTCTAGAACACGTTCGCTATCGCAATCTTGTGGTTCTGGCTACAGCCCTGACAGATCTTCTGGGAGTCGGAACGTTTGGGACACCAGCTCAACTTCCCGCATTCTATAAGGTCAGTTGATGTGCCCTCAAGGTCAAGGTGGTGCAGAAGTCTCGAAAAGACGAAGAGACTGCAAGCAATGCGGATGCTGTGTAAGCCTCACGCAGTTTCTAGCAGCTAGCTGCACACACCCATGCCAGGAGCCGGGACTCTTAGTCTCTCTTGCTGCCGCGTGAATGTTTTCGATCTTCTGCACCACTCACGACATCTTGCGGTTCTTCCGCGCACACGTTTCGAGGGCCGCCCCGGCTTTTGCCTTGGGGCAAGTGTGTCCAAGTCGACGTCGCCGACACACGCTCGCGCAGAGGTAAATGTGCGCATTGAGCCCATTGGCCGAAGGCACCGCAGGAGCAGAGAGTCTTGTCCTTGGCGGTAGCGTGCGTGTAGAGGCTTGGATAGTACTCT